TTTGTCCCTTTGGTTCATTGGGCCTGGGGTGTGTGAACTCCGTATTGGAGACGGCTAGCTCAGGCAGCTCGTCCTTCCACTGGTCCCTGGGGAAGAATTCAGCCCATCAGCCAGGGATTCAGTCACCTTCCACACTGAAACTTAACATTCTTTCCCACAACATGCCAACTGGCATCACTGCACTAAAGATGTTCATGACATAGGAAAGCATAATAGAAAAAAGGACAGAACCACCACCAAGGTGTGAATTAAAGAGATCTCAATCAATCATTCCAACTCTGGAAACAAGTATAATCTAAAACCACACAGGCTCAGGAGCCGACTTGTCGCATATGGCAAATCTCAAATAGAGTTCTGTGTGAGATAATAGAAGAAGCAAGCCTGCCTGAAAGGCTCATCAGGCTTTGTCTTATGTTGTTGCCGTTTTAAGTGTTATAATTTGAGATTTACTCCAGCAGATTCCACTTAAAAATATTCTGCAACTTGTACTTCACACTACTTGATTTTCTAAATTCTTTGCATGTGATCTCAGTTTGGTTATTTATATGATACAGATATATAAGCGGACAGAAAAATAGCAGATACACAAATTAAGATATGGCTTTACAGTTCAGTGTTTTCCTCTGCTCCTTCTTCCTGGGAGCATTCATTCAACATCAATGAGACATGTTAGGCTGCCAGGAACCACGTCAGGTCTGGGGCACACAGAGAAGTAAGTCCCCATCACTGCCGTAAACTGCTCAGGGGCTGATGGTCCACCGGGGTTGGGGGGGGTGACCTGTCAACGCATAACCACAACAGTGTGCCCGGCTCTAAAACCACTTCCAGACAGGCTGCTTTCCAATCACAAAGTTTAGGATATGTCACATACCTTAAAAAAGAATAAGAACAAAATATATTTAAGGTCAAAAGCTTTAGGAAGACTTAAGAGAAATATTGTGAGCCTGGAAAGAAATGCTATTTAGTTAAGGATGAGGATCCTCTGGCCTCTTTGTTCCTGGAAACCTGAATGTCGCTTTCCTTTGCAGAAGCTGTCCTTTCTACTGCCTCAGTGGCCTGGTCTGGCTCTGCATGAATCCACCTGTTGCTTTGATGAGCTTTTTTTTTGCTTCTGTGAGAAGGGAGACAGTTTCTGACTTCCTTTTACAGTTGTTTGTTTCAAAAAATTTTTTAGAGACCTTCTTTGTTGCTCTGTTGCCCAGGCTGGAGTGCAGTGGCATGATCATAGCTCACTGCAGCCTCAACCTCTGTGCTCAAGCAATCCTCCTACCTCAGCCTCCCTAGTACCTGGGACTACTGGCTCATGCCACTGCACCTGGCTACTTTTAAAACTTTTTGTCGGGAC